GAAGAGCTAAAAAGATAAAAATGTGAATTGTGGGTTATTTGGCCACAGGGCTAAAGATATCATGAAAGTCAATACCATGTTGCTGATGAAAACCCTTAGCCACTAGTCTGGCTTTGTGCCGAGCAACGGAGCCATCAGAATTCTTCTTAACTTTGAAGACCCATTTACACCCAATAGCTTGTTTGGAAGGGGGTAAGGAAACAAGAGACCATGTGCCCTGATGTTGAAGAGCGGCATATTCATCTAGCATGGCTTGGAGCCAGACTGGAGAATCAAGAGCAGAGTGATAAGAGATGGGCTCAATATCAGTATCAGGAGAAGGAGAGGAGCCAGCAGAGGAAGTACGAGTAGAAGAGAAACAAGTAGAATAAGATTTGGATCGGGTTTGCATATGATGAGAATTGATGGCAACAGGAGGAGGAAGAGGTAAAACAACAGAAATAGAATTAATGGGAATGGATGGATGGGAAGAAGGTGCAGGTGGTGAAGGATTAGAAGGAGACAAGGCAGAGCTTGGCTGTGCAAACTGGACAGATGGTACCAGAGTAGAGGACCGAGGCTGTGAAGAGAAATGTGGCTGTACTGAAGGAGATGCAGGCTATGAAGAGGACTGTGTCGGGGCAGATGTAGACTGTGATTGTGACGAGGATTGTGATGGTGTAGATGTAGACGGAGAAGAACTATGCTGAGAAGAGGGTGACCAAAAGAAATCCTATAAAAGAGGAAGAGAAGAAACAGAAGAAACAATAGTAGAAGAGGAAAAAGGAAATTCATGTTCATGAAAAGTAACATGTCTAGATAAATGAATGTGACCTGTCTGAGGGTCTAAACATCTATAGCCCTTAACACTAGGATGATATCCTGGAAAAACACAAGGAGTCGACTTAGGAGCCAACTTATGAGAAGCATAAGGTTTAAGCCAGGGGAAGCAAAGACAACCAAAGACTTTGAGTAAAGAGTAATCAGGAGCAGTATGATATAGCAACTCAAAAGGAGAGCAATTATTAAGAGAAACACTAGGTAAACGATTAATCAAATATGTGGCAACAGCTATGGCATCAAACCAATAAAGAAGAGGCATAGAGGACTGATGAAGAAGAGAAATAACAGTTTCAGTAAGATGTAAGTGCTTCCTCTCAGCCACTCCATTTTGAGAGGGAGTATGTGGACAGGAAAACTGATGGTGAATGCCATGAGTGTGAAGATAATGTTGAAGAGGATAATTCTTGTATTCACCACCTCCATCACTACGAAGGATTTTGAGAGAAAAACCAAACTGTTTTTCCACAAAAGCTTTGAATTCCATAAATTTGGCACACCCTTCACTTTTATAAACAAGAGGATAAAGCCAAGTGAATCTAGTAAAATCATCAATGAACAACACATAGTATTTGTAAGGAGAAGCAGATTTATTAAAGGGACCCCATACATCACTGTGAATCAAAGCTAGTGGATTATTTACAGTGGAATTAGACAGTGTAAAAGGTAGCCGATGACATTTGGCTACAGAGCAATGTACACAAGAAAAAGTACTTTTATTGGAAGCTACAAACAGAGGTAATTTGTGCTTAAGCAAATGAAACTTAAGAGTAGAAGGATGGCCTAATCTCTGATGCCAAATGTCAGTGGAAGCAGTAGAAGCAGCAGATGTAACTGAACTACGGTAGGCATGTGAGGAAGCAGTGGTTGGAGTGTGAAAATGATATAGTCCATTGGCATAAAAACCTTTATGGAGGATGGCCTTGGAAAGCTTGTCCTGAATAGTAAAGGAAGAATGATCAAATGTGATAGAACAGTTATTATCTTTAGCCAAGTGATGCACAGAGACAAGATTACAGTTAATAGAGGGAACATGCAAAATTTTGTTGAGTTTGAAAGAATGGTGAGGAGTAGGTAGTATACCTTGGCCTATATAAGTAATAGGAAGGGAAGAGCCATTACCAATAGTGACTTGATCACTAGCAGTGTAGGGTTGAATGGAGTTAAGTTGATGAAGATTATTAGTGATATGATCAGAAACAGCTGAGTCCAAAAACCAGGGAGAACAAGAATCATTGTCCTCAGTTAAAGATGTAACATATGCCTTTGACTGCTGAGACTGATACGGCTGAGAATAAGACTGATATGGCTTTGATTGCTGTGATGAAGACACTTGTGAAGATTGAAATTGAGGATCTAGTCGATGCCAACAGTCAAGAGCTGTGTGATTGGCTTTACCACAGATTTGACAAACAATGCCAAATTGTCCTCTTCCTTGAGATCTGCCACGAGAGGATCTTCCTGAATAGAATCGAGTGCCTCTTTGTGAACCTCTAGAATCACCACAAGAAGAACCTCTGTTATGATGATAAGAGTTAAATCCTCTTGAAGTATTAGAATCTTTCACAGTTGCATAAGCAACAGTAAGATCAGAATTTTGTTTTAATTTTCCTTCAATGTGAATAGCTTCTGAACAGAGTAGAGAAGAAAGTTCCACCATAGAAATGGACTCTGCATGAGTTCGAATAGCTATTTTAACTGCATCATATTCAGAAGGCAATCCATTTAATGTAAGAAGAACAATATCCTCATCTTCTACAAATGATGAAGCAATATTCAACTGATCAACAATGCTTTTGATTTTGCTCAAATACACTTCCATGGAGTCGGATTTCTTTGCAATAGAACTTAATTTGTTCTTTAACTGGTGAATATGAGACCTAGAGAGAGAGGTAAAACGTTTATCAAGAAATTGCCAGACCTGAGCACTGGTGTGAAGATGTAACCCAGAAGTGAAAATCGCTGGAGAGAGAGTAGCAGTGATGCAGCTGACTAGATGCGCATCAATCATCTTCCATCTAACAGCTTCTGGATTTGGAATCTCAATTCCTGCAGATTATCGCACTGTGGCAACAAGACACTGCTTTGAGCCATCAACAATGGCAAGTAGATCTGTTGCTCGAAGCAGATTCTGCATTTGATTCTTCCAAATAACAAAATTTGAACTATCCAACTTCACTGTTACAAGTGAACTGAGATTCGATAGCAGGAGATTGAGGTTTGAAGGAATAGCAGAGGACTCCATAGATGAATCTGGAGAATTGCTCGTGAGAGCTTCTTGGTGCTCTGATACCATGATGAAAGGTAAAGTTAAAATCTAAAATATCTTCCTTGAATAGAAAATAAGAGATTACAAATCATATTTATACAGTTGTACAGTGAACAAAAGATTTAACCTAACCATACTTCTAACTAACTAATCTATAGTTTAAGCTAACTGAATCTGTTACAAACTAATCTACAGTTTAAGCTAACTGAATCTGTTACAAGTGGTGAAGGAAAATATTGTCTAGAGCTGCAGGACATTACACTTGAGATTGATGCACCTCTTGGACCTCTGCCTTATCAAAATCATCAGTACATCAAAGGGTAAGAAACCCTCTGATTAAGTGAGAGAAAGCGAAGGGAGAGGTGTTAGGTAGCTGGTCCTTGTTCTCATGGATGGTGTATTGTTTCTTTTTAGTTTTGGTGTTCCATCAGTTGGCAATTCATCATCTGCAGCTTTTGATAACCTGGTCCCTTTTAATATTTTATTGCCAACAGTTGAATGTTTTATCCAAACATTCAAATGTAAACACTATGTACCATGCAAGAATGAGCAAAGCATAATCATTAAGGTCCTAGAAATTTGGGATTTAAAGACGAAACAAATTTGTCCCAAAATGTATATATTTCGTCACCCAAACTAATTACGACGAACATTTTTCGTCACCCGTTTTGTCGCCCAAGGGTTGTCGCTAAAGGGTCTTAGAGACGAAAAAAAAAATTCGTAATTGAAAATGATAAATTTGTGATGAATTTTTTTGTCTCCAATACACTTTATTGGGAACATACTTGTAAGTAATTAGCGACAAAACATTTTGTCATTAAAGAAAAAATTAGAGACAAAAGTATTTTATCATAAATATAAGAAATAGAGACGAAATAATTTTGTCACGTTTAATATAAACAAAGACGAAATTTTTTTGTGAAAAAAGCTACCAATAGAGACAAAAACAAATTCATCATTAAAAATGATAAATTTGTGACGATTTTTTTTGTCTCCAATACACTGTTAGGAACATACTTGCAAGTAATTAGCGACAAAATATTTTGTCATTAAAGGAGAAATTAGAGACAAAAGTATTTTGTCATAAATATAAGAAATGGAGACAAAATAATTTTGTCACGTTTAATATAAACGAAGACGAAAATTTTTTGTCAAAGAAGCTACCAATAGAGACAAAGCAAATTCATCATTAAAAATGATGAAATAATGTCAAAAAAAATTCGTCACACATTGAGGGTAATAGTGACAAAATGTGACTATTTTTTGTCATGACAAATTCATTTAGTAACGAAATAAAGAATTTATGACAAAATTAATCATCCACCTAAGCGAAATAAGAGACAAAAAAACCTTCTTTGGAATGGAAAATTTTGTCAATAATTTCATAATATTTTTTTCCACATTATATACCTATTTTATCAAAATCTAAATTTTAGTTCAACAAATATACACATTTACGAATTAACAAAATGAAAATATCCATTCATCATTACAAATAATTTCATCCTGATATAATAAAATAGTGAAATATCCACAAAATATCCAAAAGTTATAACTTGTTCAATTCCACCAAAAATCCAACAATAACTAGTGTAACTCCAAAAAGTATGTGTATCCTTATCAAACAAAAATGAACATTCAAACAAATTACATCATTGTTGCAAGTCAAAAATGCCACCCCAATCCAATCTGCAAAAAAATAAATTAAAAGTTTTAGTAATTAATCAATTATACAAAAGATTAAAAACATTAGTAACTCATCAATTTACAATTAGATCAATTATACAATTTATCCCTGTAACAGACTTTTTTTGAGATTGTGAGAACAAAAAATTAATTTTAAGGCTAATTCACAAATGGTGCATCCCATTAATGTGCCGTAAGTTCATACAACTTACATTGGTCCCTCCTAAGGTGTTTCTATTGGTTCCTGTACAAATCCGTAGTTGTGTGATAATTTAGCATTTCGACGGCCTTTTTTCAAGCTTTAAGTATAGAGAAAAAAATATGTTTTTTAGACTAATTCACAATTTATACATCATGTGCACCGGTACAAATTGGATGTCATATGCATGTTTCCATTACTTCCTAATTCTTCAAACATGTATTCTTTTATAAAATTTGTTATAAAATTAGCATTATTCCACATTGGCTAAATTTAACTTCTAAAATGCCCTTAAACTATTCTTAGTTTGGGTCTGTCTGATGTCTGCACACAGCTACACCTGATACTCATGCCCAAGTCCATGAAACATAATTTCCACAACCAAGCCCTAACTCAAAATCAAATAATGCCCTAGTCTCCCCAAAAAATGACACCATGATGGCAGTCTCTACTCAGACAGAAGGCAGTGCAATGAGTTCAAAATTATAGGAATCTGTAGATATGTCCACACTAAATGCTCATTAACCATCTACCTTACAAAACCACCAACTTTTTTTTTGCATTAAAGAGCAATAAGGTCCCCAAAATGAACTGTTTTATCAAGGTCAGAGTTGGCAACATGTGTCCATTATGCTCAATATTAGTATATGTTGTAGAATGAACAGCAAAAGCAAAATTTATATTGCCTTCTTTCAAGATAAGACCAAAGTCGTATCATTTTTACATTTTCCTTTGAACTGGGAATCAATCCTAATGGGATGCCCAGTTTGTAAACTTAATTTTTTTCATTGGAAGTATTTGATCAAGTAGGTGCCTCTTTATCTAGAAAGGTCATCTACCCAAGAAATAAGAGACTCGGGTGGCCAGCTTAAAACTGACATGAGATTTAAAATTTTCAATATCAATCTAAGGTTGAAAATGCACATTATTTCATCCAATGAGTTAAAAAGCCTATCCAAAATAAAATGAAGCTTCTTCAATATGAGCTCCAAAAAGCATGAAGAAAATCAACAACATGATGATATAGGTTATGCACATCATAACATCATGAGAGGGAGAATTATATGACAACCAACACACAAAAGCACACACAGACTGTACACAAAAACAAGAATTACCTGAATCTACATCAACTACAACAGTATTTCCACGATTTCTTCCTCTCCCAGAATTTATTTTAGCCTAAAATGAGATTGAAAAGAATAAAAATAAAAATAAATAAGTAAATAAAAAGATGAGTAAGGCCTTATTTAACCCATACAAAAATATTGACAAAATAATACAAAGAGAATTTTAGAAAATAAAAATAAGCGTACTTCTGCAAAAGCCGTATGGGAGGATATAACAACATCATCATCAAATGCCTCAACATCAATTGGTACAGGCAGTACAGATGGTCCTTGTTGGCCAAATTGCACATCTTGAGAGTTGGCTTGAGCCGAAGTGCCCTCCTGATCCAGGTTCTCACTAGGTGGTACATTGAGGTCCACATCTAGTGCCATCTTCCTCCTCCTTGTGTTCCTTACATATCCTCTTAGAGGAGGTCCACTCGACCCTCTACTGCTCATGCTATACTTAAAGTGTTTTTTGTTCCAAGACTCACACTCAACAAGCCTGATTATGCAAAAGGGAACTCCTTCATTAGCAATACATACAATATTCAGTCTTGGCTTTAAAAAAAGGAATTCACTCCCCATTTGGTGCAAATGTCGTCACGTTTTTTTTTTCGCTTTAAAAAATGCCCTCCACATCCGATAATTGCCACATTTTTTATGAATTTTTCTCATTCATCAATCCACCCAGACTTAATGTTCCCCTCATTCACGAAATTGCCCAAAAATTTAAATGTAAAATTGCAAGCACATTGTGTTTTGCACCCACCGCTAGTGTATATATCAAATTTCTAGAGAAAAAAATAGGTTGCTTTTGGTTCTCTTTTGGAATTATAATTCCAATCAAAAAAAATTGAAAACTCTTTTTAAAATTCATAAGCAAACACACAACTCAAAACTCTTTTCAAAACTTAAAACCAAACTCTTTTCAAAACTCTATTTAAAAAAAAAAAAAATCAAAATTTTTTATTTGTTTTTTAAAATTATTTTTAGAATTATGATTTAAGTGTGAAGTTGAGTTGTGAAAAAAGAAAAATTATTTGGTTATGAGTTTTGAATTATATTTTGAGTTTTGAGTTGTATTTTGAAATTTTTTGAATTTATTATTTTTAAATATGTAACAAATTTATTAATTGTAGTTTTTAGAGTAAATATTTCATATTTTAAATATTTATTCATTTATTTATTTTAATGTGCACTATATTTCATACATTTGTGTGCTGTATTTTTTAAAAATATTTTAAATATTAAAAATTTTAATTTTTTTGCTATGTGTTTAGTTACGATTTGAGTGTAGAGTTTTGAAAATAGTGTGTAGTTTCGAGGTATGTGTTTGGTTATGAGTTTTGAAAATAATTTTTGAATTGAGTTTTGGATTATGTGTTTGGTTGCAATTTGAGTGTGGAGTTTTAAAAATAGTGGTGTTTCAAGTTATGTGTTTGGTTATGAGTTTTGAAAATAATTTTTGAATTAAATTTTGAGTTATGTGTTTGGTTATGATTTGAGTGCGGAGTTTTGAAAGTAGCGTAGAATTTCGAATTATGTGTTCGGTTATGAGTTTTGAAAATAGTTTTTGAATTGAATTTTTAGTTATGTATTTGGTTACGATTTGAGTATAGAGTTTTAAAAGTAGTGTAAAATTTCGAATTATGTGTTTGAATATAAGTTTTGAAAATAATTTTTGAATTGAGTTTTGAGTTATGTGTTTTTGATGATTTAGTGTTGAAAATGGTTAGTGATGGGATTGTTAAATTATTTTTATAAAAAATCTAAAAAAAATAATTTTTATATTTAAAAAATATCTAAAACAAATATATATATATATATATATTTTCAAATAACAAGTTGCAATTGGAAAGATAAATAAATAAATTTAAAAAATTCACTGTTCCGGTCAACCGATCGGACTTCCGGGAGAATGTCCGAGCGGACGACCGGGTAGACCCAATCCACTCTTTTCAAAATTCAAAAATACCTTTCAAAACACTTTTCAAAACTCATAACTAAACAAATTTTCTCTTTTCAAAACTCAACACACAATTCCACACTTAAATCACAACTTCGCACTCAAATCATAATTCCAAAACTAAACCAAACGAAACCATCATGTTTTGGACTACTTCAATCATGAGAATTAACCAATATATATATATATATATATTCTAGTCTATTAAGCGTACACCCTATTTGGTGTGAATGTTGTCACATTTTTTTTTTTTTCAAAAATGTCCTCCACATCCAATAATTGCCACATCTAATAGTTGTTAAATCATATGCCTGGTTCCCTAGAGGAGATGGAAAAAGGGAGCAGTTTTAGATCTAAGCTAGACAAAGTTTTTTGAAATGTAGTTAGCAACAGCAGTACCCAATCATGTACTAGTCCTTTTGTGTTGTTTGAGGGCCATAATGGCACAGATATTAGGGGTAATAAGTGCACTTATTTAGAGAGCCATCTTTTGCTTCCCATATACAAATATGTGATTTTTTTTAACTTATAAATGAAGTCATACACTTAACAAGACCTCCCAATACAGGTGCATAGCAACTATTACATTATGCAACTAGCTTTACCCAAAGGCAACATCAGAGTTGCAAATAATAAAATCCTATGAAGCACAGATACCGCAACATATATGTACTTCGTATGGTACTTTGCATACGTACCCTTGGTACACACACGTACCTGCATTTTTTCTTCTCAATTTTTGTCATGCAGTACCTAATATATACCAAGTCGCACCTCAATTGAAATAGTACTTTCTGAAATTAGTTTTATTGGAATTTTATTATTATTATTATTATTTTAAAATTAAATTATGATTTGTATGTTATTTAATATAATAATATTTAATTTTAACCTTTACGTACTAAATGTAAATTGTAAGTTAGATCTTAACCAACAAAATCATTTAATTAATTTTACAATACTCCAAAAGCAATCGTCAACCTAAATAGTACAAACTGACATCAACTCCATAAAAGGAGAACTACATGCACGTGCGAGTTAAGAAAAAATATTACCAACACATGGAGAGGTGCAACCCTATAGCCTTTCATTTGCACCCAATTACATACACACTCCCACCTACATGTAGTTCCCCTTTTATAAAACCCTAGATTGCAACAAAGACTAAAAAAAAATTAAATTAAATTTGTTCACACTTTTAAACCCCAGTCTTACATGACAATGCCACCAATTTTGAAACTGATCAGAAATTTCTACTTTATTACAATTCGCACTTCCAACACTAACCCTACACAATGGTGTATGAAATTTAACCACCATTACATAATCAAAAATGATTTTGAAAAAAAAAATGTTCAGAAAAAAGTATTTTGCGACTTTTCACCTCTAACTAACTTACGCGACAAGTAAAAGACCTCCAGAGTTCACTATCATCCCATTTTCACAATCAGATTCAATCTGTACTTGAAATTTCAAATTCAAATACTAATAAGCCATGAATTCCGTACTCATAAACAAATTCAAAAATTAACACGCACGCACACACAGAAAAAAATTAAAATTAAAAATCAGATCATACGCTTATGTCAGATTGATGAACCATGAATGAAACAACAGACTCCAAATAGTAAATTCAACAACCAAAACAGTGTATAGATTAAAACCCTATCCGATCAAAGGGAGAGAGAAATTCAAAAGAACAGAATGAAATTAGGTTGAAGATCGTACCGATTTCCAATGTTTTCCAATCAAAGGGAGAGAAGAGACAGAAAATACAGAAGCTCTATGTGCTTCGTCTTCTTCCCTCAGGGATTTTCTTAAAGGGAAGATTTGGGAAAGGAGACCGCAGAAGATTGTTCGGTGCTTTCTATACAGGTTACACGAGTCGGTGAGGGCTCGAAACACTGCCACGTGTCCCAAGTAGGTATGCAATTCGTACACGTACACTACCGTCCATGTTGATGCAATGTGCGTGCTCTCACACGAATATATAATAGTTGTGCAAATGCTTTTCGCTTTCAAATTTTCTTTCAACTCCCTCCCTTTTTTTTCAACCGAAAATATTTTGCTTGGTTTCACTATTTTAAAAACATTTTCCAAAAAATTCTATTTTTTTATTTTTTCTGTTTTTTTGTTTTTTTGTTTTTATTGAATTTTTTTAATATTTTTAATAATTTTTTTAATTTTTGAACATACCAAACTTAGATGTATCTAAAAAGTAAAAAATTTGTGAAAAATCTTTTAAAAATTCACTAAATAACAAAAATATACCAGAATTTAGTACAAATTTTATATTTTTATGTATTTATTAATTTTTTAAAATATTTTTTCACAATACATCGTTGAAAGTGTTAAGAATTTTAACCGCTGAAAGTGTTAACAAGTTTCCATGTTCGGAGCTGCATTCCCGAACAAATAATCTGTGTTCGGGACTGTGTTCACGAAAAAATAAGTAATGTTCAGGCCTGTATTCCTGAACTTGAAAAAATGAAAACTTTTGCCAGCGTTAACAATTTTGACCGTTCAATGTGTTAAGAAATTTCTATGTTCGGACCTACATTCTAGAACATTATTTATTTGTTCGGGGAACATCTTCCCGAACAAATAAGTAATGTTACTTATACTTTTTCTTCCAACTTACACCTTTTGTGAAAGACCAAGTTAAAGCATCTTCGGAAGTCACTTATACTTTTTCTTCCAACTTACACCTTTTGTGAAAGACCAAGTTAAAGCATCTTCGGAAGTCACTTATACTTTTTCTTCCAACTTACACCTTTTGTGAAAGACCAAGTTAAAGCATCTTCGGAAGTCACTTATACTTTTTCTTCCAACTTACACCTTTTGTGAAAGACCAAGTTAAAGCATCTTCGGAAGTCACTTATACTTTTTCTTCCAACTTACACCTTTTGTGAAAGACCAAGTTAAAGCATCTTCGGAAGTCACTTATACTTTTTCTTCCAACTTACACCTTTTGTGAAAGACCAAGTTAAAGCATCTTCGGAAGTCACTTATACTTTTTCTTCCAACTTACACCTTTTGTGAAAGACCAAGTTAAAGCATCTTCGGAAGTCACTTATACTTTTTCTTCCAACTTACACCTTTTGTGAAAGACCAAGTTAAAGCATCTTCGGAAGTCACTTATACTTTTTCTTCCAACTTACACCTTTTGTGAAAGACCAAGTTAAAGCATCTTCGGAAGTCACTTATACTTTTTCTTCCAACTTACACCTTTTGTGAAAGACCAAGTTAAAGCATCTTCGGAAGTCACTTATACTTTTTCTTCCAACTTACACCTTTTGTGAAAGACCAAGTTAAAGCATCTTCGGAAGTCACTTATACTTTTTCTTCCAACTTACACCTTTTGTGAAAGACCAAGTTAAAGCATCTTCGGAAGTCACTTATACCTTTTGTGAAAAACAAAATTAATGAAATTTACACCTTTTGCTTAAGCTTACACCTTTTTGGGAAGATAGTTACACCATTTTTGAAAATGTACTCCTTTTGTGTAAGAATTTTTGTCATAACATTTACTCTGTGCTTATACAATCTTTCACAGAAGGTGTAAGTTGGAAGAAAAAGTATAAATGTTATGCCAAAAATTCTTACACAAAAGGAGTACATTTTCAAAAATGGTGTAACTATCTTCCCAAAAAGGTGTAAGCTTAAGCAAAAGGTGTAAATTTCATTAATTTTGTTTTTCACAAAAGGTATAAGTGACTTCGAAATAGGTTTAAGTTCGGCTTTCAGAAAAACTGTCAGTTCGAAGAAAAAGTATAAATCTTATGCCACAAAGAAATGTCAGTAACTTCGCAAAACGTCTAAGTTCGGTTTTTTCCCCCGAAAACCTGTAAGTTCCTAAAATCGAATCACACTGTATTTGTCTTGTTCAGATAATGGCAATGTGAGAGAGAAGGGCATTTCGGAGGGCTTGGCCTTTCTCCCAGTAGAACTCCGTTTCATACAAGACGAGTCTGGGAAGGATTCCAATAGCGACTCCGAGTCCAAATCCAACCAAGTATGTCAATGTAAAAGAGAACCGTTTTTAATATAGAGCAAGGGGCAAAGAGAGATAGAGAGATAGACTGAGGTCAACAGACATAGAGACCTAGATGGACACTTATCGACAGAGGGACCGTAATTGATATAGGGGTTTTTTTTTTTAAGGTCCCTGATATTAAGGTTGTATAGCATAAAGGACATTCAATATTTTCATAATGTCTAAGGTCCCTCTACCTTGATCCAGAGAAATTTCAGTCCAGAGAAAATTGGTCCAGAGAAATTTCAGACCAAATTTCTCTGGAAAGTCTAATTATTCTCAGAATTTCTCTGGATTGAAACCAGAGAAATTCTCTGGATTGGGTGTTGAGGATTGATCTCAAACACCCTTCTTCCTCTCATGACTAACAAATTTATTGAGAACTACAGATGCACAACGCTAGTGGTTGAGACAATGTTTTATATTTTTTATTGAAAGTTGTGAATGTTTTTATGAATCTGTTCTTCGCTTCTTGAATAAAATTCCATTCTTACATTTTGTTATTTTCATAATGTCTAAAATCCCTCAATATCAATCCAGAGAAAATTCGATTCAGAGAATTTCTCTGGACAAATCACAGAGAAAATTCCAAATTTCTCTGGACATATCACCCATACCAAATTTCTCTGGATACATTACAGAGAAATTTTACACATCTCCAACTCCAAATTTCTCTGGAAGAGAATCTGAGAAAGAGCACAGATTATGATATTACCACCATAGAAAAAGAGCTGAAGAAGAACCTAACTCATCAAGTAAATTGAGAAAAAGAGAGAAAGAGATCTTCCAAAATAGTTTTCAAAAAGTACCCATAGATATTTGTAAAAGCTCTGATTAACAATGGCCTTTTTTAATTTTCCCTTCTAACCAAGAGAAATTTACAAAAAAGCAGAGAAAATTACTTTCAATCCAAAGAAATTATGAACTTCTCAAAGAATTTCTCTGGGTTCAACCCAGAGAAAATTGAAATTTCTTTAAAGATAAGGAGTTCTTGGAAAAAAAAAAAAAACAATACAAGCTACACCCAATTTGTAGATTCTCAGGAAGATGATAAACATCAACCCAGAAATTACAAAGTCTTCCCAAAGTGAATGCATGTACATGCTAAATACAAACACATGGTAAATAATTGACATAATTCACAATGAGGAAAAGACAAAGAATAGGAAAGGTGGCAGCTAAATCAGAAAATAATTATTCAAAGGTAAATGCTGGGTTCACTAAACATTTGCAATCAAAGACCAAAATTAACTCAACTTTCTGTGGTTGTTGCTTCTATTATTCGAAGGTAAATGTTGAGTTCACTAAACATTTGCAATCAAAGACCATAGAAGCAACAGCTTATTTATGTACCCTTAATAATCAACATAGTTTCTATACTTGTACTTTTCATATAACCAACCACAGAAAGTTGAGCTGGCGAGCTGCCAACACCCATCCATCGAAAACAGTTATGTTCTCTCATCTTTATGGTCGGTATGAACACAAAAAGAAATATGCTTTATGAAACATAACACACACAAATGTACTCCCATACCACCCACCCAAAAAATAAATAAATAACACAAAAGGGAGTAAATTCAAGCTTTATGAAACAGAGAGATTCCCAACCTGTAACTAATTCGAGAGCTGGACTTAAAATCATATATAGAAACTTGAACAGGCTTCCCTTCTTTTAAACCATGGATATTCTCAAGCATTGTGTCATAATCCGTCAATCGTGGGTCTATTTTCAGACATGCAAAACCATTAGAAAGAGAAAGAGAGAGAGCAACACAACACAGAAGACGAAGGAGCAAAAACGGGTCGGGTCCAATCTCACCTGAGATCGAATGATGGATCCGACTAGGGAGCTGTTGCAGAAGTCGGGTTGGGAGGAATTGAAGAAGGAGGCTCTCAAGATCGAGGGCGATCTCGACATCAAGCTCTCTTCTTACGGCAAGCTCGGCTCTAGGTTCCTGACTTGGTTATCCTCTTTGGCTATGAGAGTGCAGGTGTAATATAAGGGCACGGGGGCAAGGGACCTTAGACTACAAAAAAATATATTGTGGATCTAATTCATTACTAAAAGTTGGAGAGGGACCTTAGACCGATTTTCCCATATATATATATGTTATAGATTTAATAAGAATTTATATTTGTTTTAGATATTTTTTTTAATATACAAATTATTTTTTAATTTTTTTTATAAAATAATTTAACAATCTCATCACTAACCATAGTGTATGGGAGAAGTTGAAAAGGGTGTAGGAGTAGGTATGAGAGAAGTCAAAAAGTGGGTTGGGAGAAGTCAATAAATGCTGAGTTCTTTTTTTTTTTAAATCAAAATTGTAAAAAATTAAGATTGGGATATTAGAGCTCCCACAAGACTTGTAAGTTAAAAACTCCATTTTCTTTATATAATACTAGCATATCACCCATGCTATGCACAGATTGTGTTTACAATTATCTATATATGTGAATTGCGATTTTTAAATGTCTTTTTTTTTCTTTTTTTTTAAATGTCTTCTTTTTTTCCTTTTTTATATTATATTAAAGTTTAATATTTTGACAATAATCATATGTGTTAGACTTTTCAAGGAATTAAATGTCTTTTTTTTATTATTATATTATATTGAAGTTTAATATTTTGATAATAATCATATGTGTTGGACTTTTTAAGAAATTTTTTTAATGTTTGTTCTTAATGCATTAAAGTGCTATTATAAGGGATAATAAGCATATGTGTTGAGACTTTTCAAGGAATTCATGTGTTGGACTTCAAAGAATTTTTTA